GTTGTGTAGTTTTAAAAATAGGTTAGATAAATACATGAGTGGGTGTGGGTGGGGGTGGGTGTGAGTTGGACCTGACTAGCTTGTGCTGCTGGGTCTGGTGCAGTGCTCCTTCCTTGAGTGGAGGTGACCAGACTGGGTAGGTCATTGGGCTAATCCGGGGGATGGGGGCATTAATCTAATCCGGGGGAAGGGACATGGACCTGCTCCGCATGGGTCAGTAGACCTGTTGCAGTGTTCCTTCTTTCTTATGTTCTTATGTTCTTATGTTCTTATATCTATCCTCACTTCTCTTCCTTTGGTGACGTTCTCGCTGCGTTCAAGTCCATATATATTACCTCAGAACAGGAGGATTTCTATATGGTCTACTGGTTCTTCCTCGTAGGAATTTGTGTTCCTCCTGAAAATAAAGAGAACAGATTCATCAGTATTTACCAGCATAAAATACTGAGGACAGTCTAATCGGAGCCTCTTACTATGTGATTAGGCTCATTCGTCAGTGATGACACCATCGGCTCACACCCGAAGGAACTTGGTTCAATCTAAGCTGGTTGAGACGAATGGGGAAATCTCCCTACACCTGTAACCCCTTCTTAACTAGCAGGAAAGCTTCTCCTGAGGAGAACAAACATTGTGCAAACATACGTGGTCCAAGACTCTTCAACATACTATTAACAGATTTCAGAAATATTACTAGAACGAAGAAAACTGTTTTCAAGAAGAAACCAGATAGCTTCTTTCTACAATTGCAGACCAACCAGGTTGTGATGGCCGTATAGGTCTACGGACCGCAAGTACAAACTGCCTGATTGGTCAGGGCTATTAGCAGAAGAGCCGTCCGAACTTTTCATATATAAAACTAGGATTAATATACCTTTTTTTTCAAATTTCTTTCAAAACTAAGATAGCAACCTATCCTAAGCTTGCTAATATGTACACAAGGTAAAAGTATTGATTTTTCTATCCTCTCTAAAAATTTGCAAAACTGTCGTTCATATTTTTTTGGACCATTCCTCAGATGGTCAGACATATATATGATGATAAATTAGACACATGTGCAACTCTTGGGTATCTTTATTGAGGAAACGTTTCGCCACACAGTGGCTTCATCAGTCCATACAAAGGAGAATCTTGAAGAACAGGAGGAGAATGAGGTAATCAGTCCCTTAACCTTGAGTCGATGTGTTCAGTCCATCAATCTTGAATAGAATCTATTCAAGATTGATGGACTGACCACATCGACTCAAGGTTGAGGGACTGATTACCTCATTCTCCTCCTGTTCTTCAAGTTTCTCCTACGTATGGACTGATGAAGCCACTGTGTGGCGAAACGTTTCCTCAGTAAAGATACCCAAGAGTTGCACATGTGTCTAATTTATCAACATGTCGGTTCTCTGAACCATTCATCTACAAATATATATGATGGAACTATTAATGTGATACGGACAAGTTGGAGCCGAAAAACAAAGATACGTACACTGACGATGATATTAAGACAGTTATTAAGAAATGTTTTAATAAAAGTATTGCACACTGTATGCTGGTGAAGAGCTCTTCATCCAGGGAAATGAAGCGGTCTTTCATTTCCTTGCAAAAAAACCTGATGGACTCCTATTCGTCAGGCGCTGTATTGTCTCCACAAATTTCCATTGAGTGCAATAGTAATAATATTAATATTAGATTTAACATAACTTTCTCCTTTATGTACCGGTTTCTGCACGACCCTTACGGATTTAGCGTTTTCCACATGAATACAGTATTCATAATATTGCACGATTCCTGCGGCCTTATAAAAGAAATTTGGGGAGGGAAAAAAAACCTTTGTTTATTCGGCAACAAAGTCGGCAGACAAAGCATTGTTTATTCTGCCACAAATTTCGAGACAAATGAAGTTCGGGACCCGTCATATATATTTTTATAACTCTCTTACACAAGAAAAAAAATTACCATGCCATTTTTACACTGAAAATTTCAGGAAATAGATATGTGATAACATTATTTTTTTTAGAGGAACTTGCAATGTAGAGAATAAACTTAGTTAAAGAAGACAGAAATACTGAGAGGAAATTTTTTCTCTCTGTTTAAGCGTTTTTTTTTAGCTAAAAAGAATTTGAAACCAAAAATTTAAGGAAATTAAAGAGAAATGCATAATTTTACCCGTCTATTAAGATTAGGAACTTTGAAAACAGGGAAAACTTTCTTGCGTAGGAAGTTTCACTCGTAGGAGGCCCTGAGTTGGCACCCTCGTAGGAGGCCCTGAGTTGGCACCCTCGTAGGAGACCCTGAGTTGGCATCCGCGTAGGAGGCCCTAAGTTGGTACCCTCGTAGGAGGCCCTGAGTTGGCATCCTCGTAGGAGGCCCTGAGTTGGCACCCTCGTAGGAGGCCCTGAGTTGGCACCCTCGTACGAGGCCCTGAGTTGGCACCCTCGTACGAGGCCCTGAGTTGGTACCCTAGTACCTGCAATCATCTTATTTGCATAATATGTCTGTATTAAACGTTAATTCGGGGCCTCCTAGTGAAACACCCTGGATATTTTCAAATTATGTGACATTATTATACGACGTAGGAATGATAAGCTAATTATAGCAGCATCAGGAATTATCTTAGTGAACACAGGTTCACTATACAATCATACCTTTGTTGTACAGGTGAACACAGGTTCACTATACAATCATACCTTTGTTGTACAGGTGAACACAGGTTCACTATACAATCATACCTTTGTTGTACAGGTGAACACGGTTCACTATACAATCATACCTTTGTTGTACAGGTGAACACAGGTTCACTATACAATCATACCTTTGTTGTACAGGTGAACACAGGTTCACTATACAATCTTACCTTTGTTGTATACGTGAACACAGGTTCACTATACAATCTTACCTTTGTTGAACACGTGAACACTTGTTCACTATACAATCTTACCTTTGTTGAACACGTGAACACTTGTTCACTATACAATCTTTCCTTTGTTGAACACGTGAATACAGGTTCACTATACAATCATACCTTTGTTGTACAGGTGAACACAGGTTCACTATACAATCATACCTTTGTTGTACAGGTAAACACAGGTTCACTATACAATCATACCTTTGTTGTACAGGTGAACACGGTTCACTATACAATCATACCTTTGTTGTACAGGTGAACACAGGTTCACTATACAATCTTACCTTTGTTGAACACGTGAACACTTGTTCACTATACAATCTTACGTTTGTTGAACACGTGAACACTTGTTCACTATACAATCTTACCTTTGTTGAACACGTGAATACAGGTTCACTATACAATCATACCTTTGTTGTACAGGTGAACACAGGTTCACTATACAATCATACCTTTGTTGTACAGGTGAACACAGGTTCACTATACAATCATACCTTTGTTGTACAGGTGAACACGGTTCACTATACAATCATACCTTTGTTGTACAGGTGAACACAGGTTCACTATACAATCATACCTTTGTTGTACAGGTCAACACAGGTTAACAATCATAACTCTGCTGTCTCTGTAAACACTAACCAAGTATTTCATAGAACTTTTGTATACGCTATATGCAGCATTTTAAATTAAAATAGTTTACATAACCCCCATGCAGTTCGTTCTTCTTCCTGTGTAAGATCTGGTTAGAAAAATGAAGCTTTGAACATGGCAAAAAACAGTTGTATGATGAAGTACTGTTTTTTCCCCTTCTCCGTTTGTCTGATTCTCTGTCTGTCTCTGTCTCTCGGTCTGTCTGTGTCTCTCGGTCTCCCTCTGTCTCTCTCTCTCTCCTCTGCCTCTCTCACTTTCCTGGGTACGTTTACTATACATGAAAACAGGAGCAGCAGTGTTGGCAGATTGTTGGAAATAGTGTGTGGACTTGTGACTCTGACTCTGTTCTCTCACACTGCCAGATGTACCACCTGCTACTACAGATCTGTTCTCTTACACTGCCAGATGTACCACCTGCTACTACAGATCTGTTCTCTCACACTGCCAGATGTACCACCTGTTACTACAGATCTGTTCACTTACACTGCCAGATGTACCACCTGTTACTACAGATCTGTTCTCTTACACTGCCAGATGTACCACCTGTTACTACAGATCTGTTCTCTCACACTGCCAGATGTACCACCTGTTACTACAGATCTGTTCACTACACTGCCAGATGTACCACCTGTTACTACAGATCTGTTCACTTACACTGCCAGATGTACCACCTGCTACTACAGATCTGTTCTCTTACACTGCCAGATGTACCACCTGTTACTACAGATCTGTTCTCTCACACTGCCAGATGTACCACCTGTTACTACAGATCTGTTCTCTTACACTGCCAGATGTACCACCTGTTACTACAGATCTGTTTTCTTACACTGCCAGATGTACCACCTGTTACTACAGATCTGTTCTCTTACACTGCCAGATGTACCACCTGTTACTACAGATCTGTTCTCTTACACTGCCAGATGTACCACCTGTTACTACAGATCTGTTCTCTCACACTGCCAGATGTACCACCTGTTACTACAGATCTGTTCTCTCACACTGCCAGATGCACCCCCTGTTACTACAGATATGTTTTCTTACACTGCCAAATGCACTACTTATCACTTAAATGTGGAAATGTGTTGGAAAATAATTTATAAGTAAACATAGGTTGAATTAGCATCTACAAGTCAATTTCCACGAAGGACGGGAAGGTTTTTTGGTCCAGGGAGTTAGAGTTATCCTTCTCTTGTTGGGATCGAACCTCATCGTCTCCCCCAGAAGCTGCATCACTCCTGCAGGTTTAAAGGTTCACCGCGGTTATAGAACATCTGCAAATGAGACTCGCAACCCGATATAATAAGAGAAAAACAGGCTCTGAAAACGTTATTCGAGTTTATGTTTGTATACGGTGGTGGGCTTAACGTGTAGCGGGGGAGGCGCGGTATTGCGCGTGCGAGCAGCAGCTGCGGTCCGGGCAGGCAGCGCAGAAGTCAGCAGTCTGCTGCCTGCCTCTGCTCTGCCCACCGGCTGTGTTCGGTCTCCCTCCTGCCACATCTCTCTTTTCCCATCTCAGCGTCTGGACATCACGTCCTCAGCGCCACAGCTCTAAGCTGACATGGTCGGAGAGTGATACAAAACACGTGTTGTGAATCTGTGCGAAGTTACATGCTATCACGAAAGTTTATATTGTAACTGAAAAGGCTATTACAGTCCCGTAAATATGCCAATACTGAATGAATTATATATTTGATAATGAAGTGAGATAAGAAGTTTTTTTCTGGAAAGGATTTCTCAGTCCCTGGATTTCTTTCTGGCGTGACTACAAAGTGTGTGTGTGTGAGTGTGAGTGTGTGTGTGTGTGGTTAGTATAAGTTGCAAGTAAACTGATACAACTGACTGCAAGTCTCAAGTTGTATACACGATGGCAAGCCAGTGGATGCTCCAAGTGGCTCGCTAACTGGCGAGGGAATACTGCATCTGTGGTCAGTAGTTCTGTGGATACTGGACATCAATGCTTACAGCCTCCTTCACCCTAGAGTAAAATAAATCTAGACGATGAG